GAGAGCAAGTTCCTCGTTAAAATATAATAGTTTAGGTTTATCTTAAAAATACAATCCATTCTCGTTAGAAACTAGACGAATGTTTGCTTATAGAGTTCAACAAGTAGAACCTGTTCTTAATATATCTATAAAACATTTGCATACAGAATGATTGCAAAAGCTTTCAGCAAACAGGTTTCAAAGGGTTCGAGTGCAGTTACCTGCGATTGCAGTTGCAATCCATTAAAGTTCTATTAAGATTGCTAGCCAGAATAAATTATAGGTGACTCACGGGCAAAGTGCACTACTCAAAAGTAGAGACAATGGGGCTATTTAGGTTAGTTAAGTGCGACAAATATTTGAGCCCCACGATCCCGCGGATCAGCAGTCGTAACCTACCTCAACTTCAGCTGTAACCTCGCACTTGAGACGAAGGTGAGCCGAAGCTAATGGAAAATCGCCCCTCGGTCCGACTATATTGTAGAATCTACTAAATCAACAGCAAGGTGAATGGCTCCGACTCTGACTGGGGAATTCTAGATACACAAACTCGACATAAAACTACCGAAACCCACAGCTGAAAGCGAAACTTGGAACAACTCCAGTGCTAAGCCAAGCCAAGCGTTAAATGATAATGGCTTATTATAATATTAAATGTTGGTTCAGTTGTTCTGCGGTAGAGTAACTTCCGTCTTAGGTGATCTTTGTTTGAAAAACTCAAAAAATTCTAATTATAAACATACATATTTGTTTGGACAAATAATGTTTTAGTTCTTCTAGCTTTATTTTGTTTGAAACTTGCCTTTTTATTAACAATATTCTTCACTTTTTTCTACAGATCTCCAACCATGCCCTGGATGATGAATATGCCACCAAGCAAATGGTACTTTGCTGCCCACATGGGCGAACTAATGCGCCACACTGGCGATAATCTCAGTGGACCCATGGGATGTGCCAACCTGTGGCCCAATTGCCCCATTAGCTCCAAGAAACTAATGAAACTCAGCTATAAAGTTCGCGTCTAAAAAACACCCATCACTTGTGTATATGTATTTTATTTTTCTCAGCCTTTGTACCATATGTATGTTTCTTTATTCTTTACTATTAAAATTAGCTTGTATATTACTTATAATTAGCTTAGGATCTAAGCCCCGACATGACTGATGTGACTGTAGAACTGGAACAACCTGCATCTATTAGCTACAAGTCCTAGTTGTAATCTAGATTAAAACCTCTATGTGTGACTAGTCACGACTTGATTTAGTCTTATGTCTAGATTTAGTTCGATGCTCTCCTGTATATTTAAATAAATGAATTATGTGCATATTTCGTAATGATCTTGATTGTTGCTGTGTCACCTTCGAGTGATTTGAGAAATGGGATTGACGAAATCCCCACACTTTTTTATTGAATCGCCCAAGTGCAGGTAATTGCTAGGAAGCGTTCAATCCAACCTGCTGGCAATGAAATTATATTTTTAGATATTTGTTATGCAACGGAAGGTCGTCTCCTCCATCAAATGTGGTAATCATCTGTTGAACGGATATTGTGATGTGTCATTGGACGGGGTGTTCGGCGTTTGATCCGACTAGGTAATTGATTTTAAAGTGCTGCCTTAGACTTTATTGTGGATATTTCAAATGGGAAATGAATATTGGTCAGGCACAGTATTTTATTAGAGGGACAATTAAAATAAATATATAACCCATCTACATAAAAATCCTCAAACAAAATATTTTTTAGGAAAACTGGGTTTTTTATTATATGATGGCTACATATTCCCCGATTCTCAAGCGGAGTACATTAAACGATTTCAGGATCGATGCTCCACCATTCTGCATCAAAATCCTGAGACAAAATATTTTTTAGATTTTTTGTCCATTTTTCGTGATGGGATCCCTTGAAAATGGGGTTTTTCCCTATATGTCCCACAGTGATGGCTATATCTTCTATAATTATCATCCGATTCTCAAGTACCTTAAAGGATTTCTATATTGATTCTCCACCATTCTGCATCAAAATCCTGAGACAAAATATTTTTTAGATTTTTTGTCCATTTTTTGTAATGGGAACCCTCGAAAATGGGCTTTTCCCCTGTACGGCCCACAGTGATGGCTATATCTTCCCCAATTCTCATCCGATTCTCAACCGGAGTACCTTAAACGATTTCTAGATCGGTTCTCCATAATTCAGCATCAAAATGCTGAGACATGAAATGAAATGTTGAGGTTTTCCTCTATAGGATCCTTATAAAAGTTGGTATGTCGTATTATTTTGTCAAAAATTTAATCCATAAGGTCCATATTTTTATCTATTAATATCTTATGTCGTTTAAATCTATCCTTATTTTTGCATACTTTCAGGCACTGTCAAATATTTTACCACACACCTTGAATAAACAATAAAGAAAAGACAAAAACTGCGAATTTTAGTGCACAATTTATATGCAAATTTAATTGGCTCAACGACATTGCGCAAAAAAAAAATTAGAATTATTTCGCTTTGTTTACAATTGTCTCACCAATCGATCAAGTATTCCGTGCACATTTTTCAAAAAAAAAAACAAAACAATGGTCATGCGAGTGAAATTGTCGAATTATGACAAACATATTGATGGCTGCATTAAAATCTCTAGAAAGTAAACAAAAACAAGTAATCTAAAAATAAAATTTTTGATTATTAATGCTACATCAGTGTCACTGACACGAGATTGAAATCGTAATAAATCATTGATTTCGGAATGCAAAATCGAACACCTAATTGAAATTCCAGTTACACTTGACGCCCAAATAGTCAGAGGGAACACGTTAGATTTGGCAACAAACTCTGGCTAAATTGCACAAATTCATCCAAAACAATAAAAGCCAACAAATTCGTAATATCAAACTGAAAATTAGGTCAGATTTGTTTAACTGTTCGTTGTTGTTACGCTCGTTGCGTGCTTTTTGTGCGCAACTTTCATTGTTTGGGTCGGTGGCCCAAATTTCGTGTTTGGCTTGGACCCGGCTCCATTTTAGCTTTTGGCATGACGCTTGACAAGTTGTTTGGCTTATGCAATTCCAGGGGGCTAAAAGGAAGGTGCAGGGGCAGGAGGGTGTGCCGGCCAGGTGCAGTTGCAGTTGCATTGTCTGAGGCTTCTGTCAGCTTTCGAATTTCTTTCTTTAAATTATTTCCGCATATTTGGCTCACCGAAAATGAAAGCTAAAAAATTTGCAACGAAAAATTGGTAGAATATTTAATGCCCTTAAAATATTGAAAAAGTTAAAAATATAAAGTAAAAACAATTTATTACAAAAACCCCTTTAATTAGGCAACAAAAACTTCATAATTGCTCTTACAGACACTTTTTTCAAAACTGTAATAGCTATTACAGTGCTTAATACAATTTTAATTGAAAAAACTCCCATTTTATGATTTAAGTAATCCTCAAATTAAGTAATCCCCTTTCATTAGTGCAAAAATTAACCAAAAAATACCTTCACCAAATGCCGGGCATGTCCCGCCCAACTGGAAAATCACGAAAATTTTCCATTGCAAGAGCTGCAATTCCCAACCTACTTTCCTGTTGCACGCCAAGAAACCAAAAGCCATAACCGCGGAGAAAATCAAGTGTACGGTACAACAAGAAAATGCTCTGCATAAAATGTAAGCCAAAGTTTGAAATAGCGGCGAAAGAAAAGCGAATTTCCCATAGCGGTAGTGTTCGGAGCACAGCCACCATTTAATTGCAGCTCGGGAGTCTCTACTGTGGTGTGGCGGTTGTCGGGAGATTGCATAACTCCGGCTGGGGCTACGTGATCTGGTCGAGGTGGTCGCGATGGTCGCGGTGGTCTCAAACGGGTCCCGGCGATTTGGCCAACTGACTGATTGAACCACTCTTTGATGGCCTATTACATCTGGCTAAATGATTCTGTTTTATTGCGACCGCAATTGCATCTGAACAGTTTCTTGGCGTGGATTTCCTTGATATTGATGAGATTTCCTCACACTTTGTATCTGAGAATGGTAACCTGGTCAGAGACACGTGCTCTAAGCCATCGTACGATAAACAGTTTTGGCAAATAGCCAGCTTGAGCCATCAGTTAGGTTCAATGGTGCTAATTAACCGGGTCAACAAAAAATATGTTGAATGGTGGGATTGGCCAACTTGCCAGAGAGACTGATACTGTTTTTTTCGGATTAAATATTAAATTCTTAAGTAAACAACAATTTTATAAAATATTTAAAAATAATAGTATATGCCAAGTTTACTAAAAGTCTAAACTTGGCACTCCTAAACTTAGTCTGTTGCTAGTCGCCCATTTTAACCTTTTGAACAGACAGACAAAAACTCAACCGAAACAAATTGCTTCAACAAAACCATATAGGAAATCGTGTACTTTGGTATCCGACAGATACCAGGTAGCACCTTACGGAAATGAGGTAATTGATATGCAAACCAAACATCAAAACCAAAATAAAACCACGAATAAAGAGCAAGCAGTGAAGGAACGAGCCTCAATGAGCCAAGTCCGAATATTTGGTGTGAAAATTTTCATAACTTGTCATATCTGGGAGAGAGAGTGAAAAAAATCAGAGAAAAGCATTTCTCCGGAGACTAAAGAGACTGAGAGGAATTCGCTTAGGCCTGCGCCCTCAGCTTACTGGACACACTTTCACTTGCTGGCCGGTCTTGGGTTTGGCTTCCGCACGAAACTTGGTCAAAATGCAAAACAAACTTGGTCTGCACAGAAAGAGACTCAGTGGTGGAGTGAGGGTTTTTTTTATATAGACTATATTACTATAGACTATATATTTTTAATAAAATTTAATAAAAACTAAAACTTTTATTATAACCTCTGTCATTCCATCTTGTTTAAACATGGGAGTGTAAGCTCTTTGAGTAATTTCTTTTTCATGGGGATTTCTTACCTGGTTTTTGGCCATTGGCTCTCCAACTCCTCGAAGTCTCTCTTTGTTTACATTTACGATTGCGTTTGGTTTGTTTTTGCTGCGGCGCTTTGGCGGCTTTAAGCGGCTGCAGGTCGCTTCAGTCAGTCCAAGACTTTAAGCGCACCAAGTCGCCAGCCGCTCCGTGGATCCGGTGGATGTGGTTTAGTATTGAATAGCTCACCCGATTACAACATACTCTTGTGGCCATGAATCTGCGGTACATCTGCACACTGTCGCTGGTGCCGACACTGTACGTACTGCTGGTGCTTCTCCTGGAATTCGTAGAGGAGGGCTTGGCCCAGAATGCGGATCCGCTGTTTGAGCTGCCGGTCCAGCTAATAGGATTCCCCGTGATCGTGCTTTCCGTCCGCCTGTCGCAGTTCGCCAAAAAACTGGCCTACTCCCTCAGTCCCAGTAAGTCCGGCTTCAATCGGAATCAATTTAAATGACTTCTTTTCATTGAGTGAAAGTTAAAAATATGTATGTTATGCATAAATTAAGTGTTTGGCATTGTTGTAATCAGTGCAGGAATTCCACCACATTTGGTGTGGAAATTCCATAAGCTGTTGCCATGGAAAGTTAGGCACCGGATTGAAATTCGACTATTTTTGACTTTGAAATACTTTTTTTTATTTTCATTTTCGACTTTTGAAGTGGTTATTAGATTATATCTTTATAAAATAAATTTCTGTTTAATTAGAAAGCAGTCATACCCCTCGTATACGTAATGTAATGGCACTCATTAGGCATACGTGGCGGATACTTAATATATTGTTGAACATTATGTATACGCAGTGTCTGCATATTGGAGAGGCTGAAATAGAGTAGCTATTACTTATTAGTAGTAAAATTTTAAAATAGTATTATTTTTAACCCCATATACCTATTTAATCTATAAAATGGGGAAATTCCCTCCAGTTTCCCTATAAAATCTACACCCAAACTATTATAATAGTTACCAAATATGTACAAAAGCTTCACTGAAATAATAGTGTTTACCATTATTTTGTGATCCATTCCGATCCATTTGGCAAGTGCGTTGTGGCTGTTGGCTTTTTGGCTCATTGCGTTGGACCGTAAAAAAAAACTGATCCGCAAGTGCGATGACAAAAGCGGCTACCAACTCTCGTGCACGTCCACTTAGCCGACAAATTGTGAAAATGGGGTCAAGGCTGTCTGCAAGCCAGTGGCTGGAACCATAACAACTATACAAAAAAAAACCTCGCTCAGCCGGAAATTCAGTTTCAGAGACAGATGGTGAGGCAGCTGATGGATGATAAGCTTTTTGAATGAGTAATCAGACTGGGAAATACCCCAAAATCATAATAAACCAATTAGGTCTATGACGCTTGAATTAATTTATTATTATTTTATGTATTTACGATATTTTTGTCTTTTTCAGGCACCTACAGATCGAGGAGCAGGCGGGAAACCTCCCATCCTTTGGCCCTTGATGCCGAGCTAGCTCAGAAGCAGATCCTGGGAGAGTTTGGCCCTCAGGCTTGCATCCTTGAAGAGCCCTGTCGAGTGCATGCCTCTCGTCCCTCAGGCAGCAGCCAGCGCAGGACTCCTGGCGAAACAAAATCGAAACCACATGCTGCTTGGTCGGAAGTATTGAGGTAGGTTGAGAAAGGTATAATAAATTACTAGCTCGATAAATTAAGCCTGCATGCTTCACCAATTGGCTTTGGAAATAATATAGTAGCTTTATCCTTTGTTTTAAGACAAGTACCTTAATTTAATACGATATCTTTCCTTTTTTCATTTCCCTGTGTAATCAAGCTACATCTTGCCATTTCTTTCTGTACCATTTAAGGGTATTCATGGCGTGTCTTCATCATCATTGTCTTCTAGTGCCTTTTTTCATTTGCTGCTCGAGTGCAGCAAGTGCTGACTTTATGGCAACTCACTCCGGCAAGCTGGCAGTAAGAACTTGAACTTTTGTTAGTTCTGGTTCTATTTTTATTCTGGGATTGTATTCGTTATTGCTACGTTTGCAATTTGGCGCTGCTGTTGTTGTCATTTGGCAAATGAATGGCTTGTTTTTAGCTAAAGCTGAATGTTTTCCAATCAATTTTTATCTCTCCTTGTTGTCGCTGTTTCATCCTGAAGTCTCCCCTGGCTTTCGGTTCCCCACCATTGTCATTGGCATTGCTAACTCATCTGTGCATAATTTAATGTCTCCTTGGATCCCTAGCGTTTAAATGTGCATGTCATGACTCCGATTGCAATTGTGACTTCGACTCTGACTTCGACTTCGACTTTGGCTTTGGATTTCAATTTGTAAGTTTACATAAATTTTGTTTGGCTTTCCGGTTCCTGATGAGTTAGTTGCCCTCGCATCGCGGTCCCCTCGTCAAAAAGTCCCATTGTCATGGTAATCTCATGAACCAGCAAATTATTCTTCTCACCCGTCCAGAGTCCCTCCAGTCTAATCCCAGCTAACTGCTGTGATTCATAATTAATGCATTCGTCTTTCTGCAGTTTCTTCCTTGAAAAAAAGAAGATATTTTTTTATTGATGTTTTTACGTAATAAAAGCGTAAAGGAAGCTCGTCTGGTCAGCAGAGGTTGTAAAATATTTTTATTGTTGGCTTCAGTTTCCATTTGGAAATATTTAACAATGGCCAGATTAAAGAAAAGCTCCTTAGTTCTTGTGGCAGACACATTTCAGTTCATGTGTAACATTTTCTTGTTTGCCAATTTCACATTTATTCCATTTAATATTTTCCATGTGATATCGCAAAAAGGTTTCCACATGCATCTGACACATTCACACCTAATGTTTCGCCCTGCCTGGCCCTACCCTGGCCCTTAGCAAAATGGTCAAAAGTTGTTTGGCCAACGTGTCAAGAGCAAATATTCAAAATTATTTTTGAAATGTTCGTCTGTCTGCGGCTCCTCACAGCCCCACCTTGAACCCCACCAGACACCCGGAGACCGAATCGGAGTTTCTGTCAGAGTCTGGCCCCAGTCATGATGATGTTTTTGTTTAGTTTTCGTTTCGCTGCAAATGTAATTGGCATTAGAAGAAGTTTCCTACAGCCCGACGTGTTTTGTAATAATAAAATATGATTAAAGTTTTTGATTAAATTTATGCAAGTGCACAGTGGGGAGGCCACCAGTTTCGCCAGGTTTCTCCAGGTTCTGGTCAGTCCCCCAGTCTCCCCGTTGTGCCTTTGTTGAAGGTTTCCTGGTCCTGTAGTTTTTCCATCGCCAACGGGCATCTGCAGATGTGTTTGTTACCGAGTTGATTAAATTATGCCATCGCAGACGTGTGAAATTTCAACTGTCCGTCCGTAGGTGTGAAGCCAAGGGATATCACAAAGTAATCATCAGGATGCACACCAGAAGAGTTACTTTTTAGACTATTTTAAGCTTTATAAATGATTGAGGAAGATGGAATAACTATACCATAGAATTAAGGCCTGTTATATCCTAACATTTAAAGGGAAAGAATAAAACACATGCAATTAACCAAGAAACCCCACTAATGGCTTTTCCACACAAGTATACGTGTAGTCCTTTAAACCTTGGGCCGATGTCCTTACCCCAGCACCCTACTTATGGGCAGAATAGCAGCACAACCATTATACAAATAAGCCAAGTGAAACCCATACCCAAAACAACACATTCCGGCATTATAAAAGCGAACCCTTCTCTTGGGGCCTGAGCCGGCAAATTGCTTTTGTTTTTAACTCTGGAGCGGTGGGCGGTGAGGCTGTGTGTTGGTCTTATTGTGTGTATGTGTTCATATTACCCGCTTACTTATAAGTAATTATTTCTGTAATCCGCTTTCCGTTTCCCCGCCTGCAACATGCAACCAACAACCAACAACCAACAACCTACAACCATCAACAGCAACTACAAAGTGCAACCGGGCATTGGCGGGATGAAACAATGGTACCTCCTATCGCTCTTCATCGGCGATGCGACGCGGGATGTGCCGTTGTGCAAGCACCTGGCCAAAAGGATGCCCTGTCCAGGAGTTGGACCTCTGCCGCCGCCCCAGCCCCGCTGATGTGCGGCCGGACACTGTACTCCGCATCCACTTAGTCAGTCGCATCGGACATCTTTGTTAATCATGCATCCTCCAGTCACCTTCATTCCCCATCATTTTACCGTACTTCTAGTTGCTTTTAAGGGTTTTAATTTAAACGTACGCCCGCCAAAACAGACCTAGGCGCTTAGATTTATGAGTAAGCAAATAAATAAACAAACCATCTGAAAAAATCATCCCGAAATTTGTGTGTTCCTATGCCAGGACATGTCTGGACTCCCTCAATATTCCTTTCGGACAATGCATTTCCCCTCCCACCAAGTTTTCCTTTATTTTTTTGGGGAAAAGCAAGGAAGCGGGCAAAAAATTGATACGCCAAAGAGCATCCTGCTGGAAAAAAGAAACAAATATTCAGACTGGTTGCAACGCCACTTGCAAATTGTTGACGCAAGGCATTAAACTTCAAAAAGAGTGGGTTTTCAGATGCCCTGGATACATGATAATATGGGTATGCAAATTATTAGGGAAAATTTTAGTCAAATGAGGGTCTAAAACCCATTTTAAGGCACCCAATTTAAATAAACACCTACTTCCTAAATATAGTATTTTAATTTTAATAAATAAAGTAACAAACCAATTAAGTTAAAGACTTTTAGGGACTTCAAATATTCAAAATAGAAACATCCCATCTTTCAAAAATTACACCATAGGGCCCATTCGTATCCTTCTTTCCGGCTCTACTCTAAATTTTGTCTTTTTCTTGCAATGTCAGGGACAACAAGAGTTGCAACAAGCCGAGATACAAAAAAACGCAACTTGGGGAGCTGCTGGGAGAACCCTCTACATCCTTCCTATGCCACTGTTTCCCATTTATTAACTCGTTGCATATGGTTTGCATACAAACTGTCGTTCCCTGTCGCCCTGAGTGCTGTAAATAAAACAGCACAGGCGCTGAGCTTTTGCTTGGCAATGGCAGCCCTGGCAACCCTGGGCCGCACAAAAGTATGCTCCACTTTTTTGTGCACTTTTGCATTTCTATGTGATTTTCCCGCTGACAAACGTTGGACCATTTGGGAAAACTGTGGCGGGAAAAAACGAGTAAATGAAATTGCTAGAGCTCCTGGAGGTTTTCCCCTCTATGGGTTGGTTCATCTTTTAATTCTGTACAGAGATACCCTGTATACTTGAAAGGTTATGGAATTGTTCTTCATATCTTCAAACCTTCAAAATATATTAAAGTTGGAAAAATGTTTAGAAAATACATTGTATTTTTGGGGGATCTCTTAACAATATATGTATAAGGTATCTCATATTCTACTCTCCAGTTTCCTGTAGTATTTGTCGCTGTTTATTTTTGCATTTACTTTTCCGTTTGAGTTTATCACATTTAATTTTTCAAACGTATTCCCTGGATAAGGCCGTTTGCCGCTGGATTTATGCGGCAATTCCACAGACAGCTCGTTTCACTTTTCGAAACAATGGCGACAGATGAAGAAAGTTTATCTTTTTGCACACAGTCGGTTGATTGAATTGTGTTTTATTAATAAATATTGGTTTAAAGCGTTAAATATTTACAGACTTATGTGACTAAAGTGGTGGCCTGCCTCTGCAAGGGTCTTCACAGATGACCCAATATCATTACTGGGTTAAATAAATCGAAAACAACAAAGCTTACATTAAATAAAATCACATAAATTATGATAATGTTTAAGATGCATTGTCTGGCAAGGTCTAACCCTTATTCAGATACACTTTGCCGCCATCGGGACGGATGTAGTACTCATTGATTCCCTGGGAATTCGTCACGTAGATGTTCTTGTCGTCTTCGTAGTGTGGCTTCTGGTTCTGGCTACTCCCATACCGATTATCGCTGATGTAGTTGGTATTGGGGTAGTTGTAGTGGTTGGGCCTTTCATTCTCGGGCTCTGCGAAGCGTACAGTGTTCCCTGGCATGTACTCGCCGTAGTTGAGGGTGTTGAAGCCCCCCTCTAGTCGGTAGCGTTGGGGCGGTCTATGCTCATCGCTGACCACAAAGCGGTCCTCCTTCGGTTCTTCTCTCAGGTCATTGTATTCGTAGGTGGGGGCGTAGGTGGGTCGGTTCAGGATCTTGCCCTTCCGGATGTGCTGTTCGTAGTGGTCGGGGAATATGACCCGGGCACCGCGTTGTGGCGGAGCAGCTTCCTCATAAACCGCATTCGGCGGGGAGTCATCCTTGTAGCCTCCGGAGTGTTGATTTTCCCGAATTCTCTGGATTTGTAGTTGCTCCTCGCGGATTCGATCTTCGCGGAATTGTTCTTCGCGGAATTGTTCTTCCCTCAACTGTTCTTCCCGGATTTGTTCCTCTCTTATTTGTTCCTCCCGGATCAGTTCCTCTCTAATCCTTTCTTCTCTCAACTCAGCCTCCCTGAACTGCTCCTCATCCCGAATCCTTTCCTCATCCGAGTGTTCGTTGTGATCCCTGAACACGATCCTCTTTCCCCTTCGTTTGTCCACCCCAACGTCTGACTCTGTCAAGTCATTCGGCAGGACTGCCTTCCAGCCCTCCATGAAGGATAGTTCCCTGCCTTCCCTTATGGGTTTCTTCTGCTCATCCTCGTCTTGGGGGAATCTGAGCTTCCTTTGGGCCGCATCCCGATTGAACTCCCGGATAACGTCCGCTGGCGTGGAATCCGGAAAGCGCACTGATCCTTCGCCAAACTGCTCCTCACTTTGAATATCCTTGAAGTTAACCACCCTGCCTTGGCCTTCGTCCTCCGGAAACTGCAGGACACCTATCAGTTCGGTGTGAGCCTTGGCAGCTTCCTCTTCCTCGTCGTTCTGGAACTTTACCAACTGACGACCCATTTCCGTATCCAGGTTGTCCTCTTCATCATGGAAGTCATCGTCTATGTTAATGCTCCTGCGCCTCCTCCTCCTTTGATACTCTACCCCATTCAGGTATTCGGATAGCACCTGGGTGAAGAAACTTCCAATACCGCTGGCTATGTCGGTGGAGGGTCGCTGAGTCGGCCGTGGAACGGGCCTGGGTGTGGTGTAGCTCTGACCGCCACCACCACCCCCACCTGTCAAGGCGGAGAGGATGCTGAATAGGGAGCCAGTGCCGCCATCTCCTTGGTGAGAAGCCGGCGGCAGCTCCTCCGGTTCGCTGAAGAACTTAAAGAAGCCTCCGCGATGGTTGTTGAGATAATGAATGATTTCCATCTAATTTTTAAGGAAACTATTATTATTAGGAAATATTTTAAAAGATAAACTCTTCACCACTTGCCTCATTTTTGGGACACTTTTCATAGGTCTGGATGCAGCTCCTTTCTCCGCCACTGAGTCCAAGGAGGGCGGCCCTGCCGTAAATCAAAGCAGGTGAGGCCACGGGAAAACCAGCCAGAAAACTGCAATAAAATAAAATATTTAAAATAGAAAATGAAGTGTAGGTTTTAAGCCCAATTCCCCCTCAACCAGCAAGGATATTTCACCCTTAAGCCTCATTCCCAGTTACACAAGTTATGCAACTCTATCGGCTCTGGGCCGCTTATAAAACTTAATTGACTTGAAACCAAGAATTTGCCAAAGCCAAACAATTCAATTTAGAATGGGTGCTGTAGCAACCCCTGCTCTGGCTCATTTAGGTAACCCATTCCGAGCTCCACACCAGACGTAGCTCATTTAATGGAACAATCAATATGGTCTGGAAGGCAGTAATGAAGTCTAATCCTAGTTAACGCTGCACCACAGAAACAAGATGCCACCCATCTGCCTCAAAATGCAAATTTAATAATATTTACTCGCAAACTAAAGCCTCTGCAAAATGGGGGCCAACTAATGCCACTACACTGAGAATAAATTATTATAAATATTTTAGTAATGAAAGGACTCTTCTACTAAGAGGTACTACTCTTCATCTAAGGTTGAAGTTAATCATTTAAAGACAATAGATAGTCTTTGATCCTTTTTTTATATCCGACTTACAACCGCATAATATCACCATTTTTCTTTAGTGTAAGTGGAGTATTCTCTCTATGGAAAACTTACTTGGCTATGGCCGGGGAGGTAACGAATCCGGGCAATTGGCCACGTAACGTTTGACCGGCAATCATCTGGCAGAGCACCTTGGGCACGCACTGCAAATCGTCGTTGCGAGCTATGTTCTCCAGTGCCCTAATGAGTTGTGTGTTGGGTGGTCGACCACCACCCCCTGAATGTCCTCCGGTCTGGTAGCCTGCTCCTTGTGTCCCAGCGAAAGCGCCGAGGAGACTGCCTAATGGTGAGGATGTTGCCGATGTGGCGGAAGAGCCACCGCCCCCCAAAAGGAGATTCGTAAATTGCGGTGCATACTGCTGCGTCGAGCTGAACAGCGAGGCCAGGGTGGCTAAACCACCACCCACACCACCTGCTCCACCACCTCCACCTCCACCGCCTCCTGGTGACTGAGTGCCAGGACGATAGTTGAAATGCTGTTGTTGCTGCTGTTGCTGGAAGTGCTGGGATTGTGGTGGCGGTATCTCGCCAATTTGATACTCGTAGTAATTGTGTCCCGGCCTGGGTCGCTGGGGTTGAGCTGCTCCGCCTCCACCTCCATATATTGGGCCTCCACCTCCTCCAAATCCAGCTCCATTCTGGGGGTTGTATTGATATTGCCCATACTGTACACAGAACAAAATATTAGTCACTTGGAATTCCTCTCTAAAGGAGCCTTATTATCAGAGAAGCTTAATTTCTTCCAGTGCTTACCTGGTTCTGGGGGTTCTGTATCTGTATCTGCTGTGGGTTCGGACGCTGCAAATAATTATCAAAGCTGTTTGCATAATTAGACGAAGCTGGGGATGTTGGAACTGCCGGGGACACTGGGGATACCGGAGCTGGGCCCCCTCGATGCCCAGAGATGTCTTGGCGCTGGTACAGTGGTCGCTGCTTTGGCTGTTGGGGCACGAAATTGGATGTCTGCTGGGCGGCGTAGCTGGGCGGCGGATAATCGTGGCTGTCGTAGGATATTTTATGCGACGCAGTGGTGGGCGGGGGCGGCAGCGAGGGCGGAGGTCGTGTGGGTCGCCGGTAGATGGTCGACGGGCTCTCGTCGAAGACGTAGCCGGGTCGCTTCAGATACACGTCCTCCACGTGACCAGGACGCTGATGATTCGGATTCTGATGACTGCCCACCAGAAGGGAAGACTGGACAGTATACACCTGATCGTCTTGTGGTTGCTGCTCCCTCTGGTACTGAATTATGGGAGGCGGTGTGGGTGTGTAGCGGTAGTTCTGTTGGGTGTACGGATCCAAGTAGCTGACCACCGGAGTCGTGGGCAGCGGAGTGCTCTGAAACACCGAGGAAGAGTCCTCCGGGAATGAGAACTGCTTGTCCGAGGCCACTTGCTGGCCCAAAGAGCTGGGTATTTCGTGTTTATAGTTTGGTTCCAAGTAGCTTGGGGGATAGCGATTTCCCCCTCCCTGGGGCATCACATCGGAGGGTGTGAAGTCCAGCATTTGGGAGGGTCTGAAGCCGCCTCCTCCGCCGTTGGTTACTCTGGCGGAGGTTTCTGCGTGATTTTGAGCTTCCGAGACTTCAGGCACTGCCTCCGAGGGAAAGAAGTTTTTCAGCTTCACGGAGATTTGGTTTTCCTCGCTGGAGGGAAGGGAAAAATGATAAAGATTTAAAGAAATGGAGTAGCTTTAAGCCATCAAGACATCTTAGTATTCCTCAACTGACTATAAGCCTAAGTTTAGTGGTTTTTTTTAAGGGAATGGGCTGTGGGAAATTTGCATAATTTAGGAAAAGCTCAATCAACTCACCCGTTGCCATTTCTTATGCACGACACGTCGACGACTAATGCGATAATTAGAATTGCAATTTTCCATTGCACACTTCGAGGCTCCCAGAGCAATTGCATTTCGGCCGGGCAGGATGGGGGCGTTGGGGTGGAAAATGTGGAATATCCCGGTGCTCACGTCAGCGATTCATAAGCTTAAGGCACGTCGTCTAAAGTAGGAAAACGGCATCAGTGGGTGGGAGGGGAAAACATCATAAAAACTTGCTGTCAAACCCAAACTACAAAAGAATTTTCGCGCCATATCCCAGCGACTTGTGCTTGACACTTTCCTTGCTACATTTGCGCATAAATTTATAGATTTGCCCCCAGGACCCCCTGCAGCATCCCCAAGGATGCACATTTGCATTCATATTAATGCAATTCTCACGTGCTATCCGGCAAAGGAGCCGAAGCCGACGCCAGTGCCGCCGCGACATTTGTTTAATTCCGTTTTTTATGATTGCGCCGTGTTTATGCAACCGCACGGCTGCCACAAATAATCGGATGCCATCATCTTTAGTCTTTGTGGGGCATGCGGAATTATTTGGATTATTGTCGAGTTTTATTTTTGGCGGAGTGCTGACAGGCCTTAAAAGTTTATGGTTTGCTTTTCTTATGGCAATTGTCTAGAGTGCATACATCATAATTTTAACTTGTCTGGAACTAGCTCTTTAGTCTGAAGACTCTTTGTTTAGGGTTTTTTATGAGATGATATTTTAAACTAAAGAAAAATCAATATTTATAAAGATTACATATTTGTTAAACCTGTAAATTTTGTATTGATTTAGTAACTCAAGTCATATAACCTCTTGAAGTTTATGGAACATGAACTTAATATCTTATTTATTAAAGTCATTTTTTCTTAAAAGAGTATTTTTATAGATTTTTTATGAATCCCATTTTACGGATCAGTGAAAGTGTGTTTTAGATTCTCTATAGAAGTTATACACTCTCCTATTACTTTATTGATTTCTTTGGCTTTTTGGCACACTCGCTACCCATTCATTTGGGTATTAACATTCTTCACTAAATCTGTTTTTTGTAAGGCACCAGTTTCACCATAAATTATTCACAATTTGTCGCCTGGCGGTTCGATTTGCATTTGCATTTAAATGGAGTCAAGGTTATTGTAAGAAAACACGTCTGTCTCGAAAATGTGAAACCCCAGTGTTTAAGATGACGCACAAGAAATTTCGAAATTTCTGGGTTAAAGTTTGCGTATGACTTGCAGCATCTGGGCAGAGTTGAAAATTTATTATTTATGTTTTTGTGTGTGCAGTGCCAAATGTCTTGTTGAATATAAAATTTAAATTTCATACAATTGCCAGAACAGACTTCTCCACCAGCTGTAATTGCAGCCAAAAATTTTACGATCCCGACAGGAGGCGAGGTGCAGGACCAAGGGGTAGGGATAGGGATATAGAGAGTTTTCGGGGAAGTACTAGAAAATTGCATTTGCTGCTGCCTGGCAACAGAGGGCGCTGCACTAAACCAAAAGACAGCAGACGGCAATGGGAGTTTCCGACAAGAAATGTCAGCTAATTTTAAGGGGGGATTGGTCTGCTGAATGCACCAGGTGCAAGGATCACAAAATGCACAGGAGCTGTGGGTGGCTGAGTGGCGAAAGGGACACTAAACGAGGAGGCGGCGACACGAAAGGACACTTTACGCTTGAGATGCGTTCCCAATTGTCCGGGCAAAGACGTACACGGATACGGCTGCGGATGCGGATGTGGCGTACGTGTTGTGAATTCTTTTGGGAAGTATCCTGCTGCTTGTCAAATTACATAATCCACTCAACACTGGAGATGTGACCACGCCCCTGTCACTCCTTCCTTATCTCAATCCGCCCCACCAATTAACTTTAATGTCCAAGGCGTGTTTGGGGTTTGATTCGAATCTTATTACTTTTCGAAACAGAGATGGAAAGTGCATCTCTAGTTTAATATATTTTAGGTATTTGTTTTAAACTAATTATTGATATTATTTAAAACACTTTCTTTAATATTTTTAGTATAAAACATTAATTGTATTTTAGTCACTATTTTAAAGCCAAACTCTGATGTATCCACTTCTTTTCACAACTTTCTTTTCACTCTTCCTGGCTGGTTGAGCTCAAAAATTGCCCGTTTGCGTTTCTAGGCACAATTGACACGCTTTGTTTGGTTTTTGAATTGCGACATTTAGGGCCCGGCTTTTGATTTTGATTTGCACACTTTCGGTTTCATTTTCAGCCAAGTAGTTAGTTGGCTGGGTATTTTCCCCTCCAGCTTACTCACTGCACTTTTTGTTGGGGCGCTGCTTCTTTTTCTCGCCGTCTGGCAAACGAAACTGAAAGCGAACTTTGTATGGAAACTGGTTGACTGGTAAACTAAAAGCCTCGCAACCGAAAAAAAATATAGAAAACAAAATAATAAACCGAAGGCAGCTGGTGCGCATGCGCCGGTAACGTCTTTCCGGCTTTAAGTTCGGCGCTCGTTTGACACGCGACGCCGGCGCAGAAAAACCGCCAAGCCAACTCTAGAGATCTCTTTTTTTATGAATATATATAGCTATATACATATATCTGAAGACTTGGCCAATAAATGGGAGAGAGTTGGCTTGAAGAAAGAGAGCTGTTGAGCGAAGAAAGCAAAAAAAAGGCATGGCTCTGAAGGTCAATGGTTTAAAGTTGAAAATAGCTAATCTTGATAACAAAGGCCTATGTTATCTTATTAAAATTAGTAATATATATATTAATTATTTTAAGAGAAGGGTTTAAGGGAGTACTTTTAAACAAAAAATTTTAAAAAAAATTAAAAGAGATGATAAAAACTAAATTCATAGCTATGTAAATCACCATCCCAGAAACTCCTCGAATCACCCATTTCATAAAGACCCATTGTGTTCATTCAACTCGGTTACACACGATGATATCAATTACAATTACAGCAGCATTGCGCCAATTGGTTTGCCCATTTGTTACACTTTTCGAGTGAGAAATGATTGTCCAACGAGGCAGTTGGCCAGCAAAATGGCTTAATTATAATGGGCCAATAAGTGGACGTCTGAGTGAAAGTTGGGGCATCAGAGAGCAGGCCGGCTGGCTGGCGACTAAGCGGCTAACAATCCAACAAGTCTGAACATCTGAAAACTGAAACAGAAACCGAAACCGAAACTGACTCGGAGTTGAGTAATTTTCTGCTCTAGTCGTTCACCTCCGCCCCCGCCTCCTGAGCCAAAAAGCCACCTTTGGCTTTCTTTTTCCCAGCTGTTGGTAATAATAATTTACACTTTTTATCGCCTCTGAGGTAACCTGCATTCATGGCTTGTTGGGATGGGGGCTGTCGGAGTGGATTTGGCGGTCAAACGAAAGCAAAACCACAAAAGAAAAAAACAAGATCGTGGGCTATTCCTCGAAGTCGACTTATGGCCAGAGTTCCAAACCAATATCTGTGCCAATGTCTGCCGTTCAACTCGCTTCAGTTTTTGCCAGACTTCGCAATTTGTTTACATTTGGTTGAGTTATGCAAAGCCCGAATGCCGTCTTTGGATCATGATTGATGAACGGCAGTCAATGGATTATTTTTTTCTACACTAACATCCGTGTGTGGGAGTACTGGGGTGTGTTGCCCGACCATGAAAGGTCGTCGATGAGTCTATGATTCATTTTATTTGGCGGAACTTCATTGCCCACTTGAATGACGCGTGACATACATACATAACATTTTAAAGCTTTTATAAGAAATACCATAAAGTAATGGCCTTTAATTTCTTCTATTTTTAGCCAACATGCGTCCAAAGGAGCACCCGGAACTATCCTTTGATGTTATTCCCAAACTGTATGAAGCAAATGCCAAAGTTTTCCTTACCAGCCTATTCCGGGTGGAGGAGCAGCTGCAGCCTTTGCCTCGGACGTTCTGCCGGATGTACACCACCGAACCGTTGGCCAATCAGCTTATCGACTACCTGAGCTTGCGGGGCGGCCAAATCTCGAAGCAGAATTTTCATCTGGTGGAGGACTGTCAGCCTTTTGAGGTGCAACTGATTTTCGGAAGGAAACTGGAGGCCATGCTCTGCTGTGGCAGCCACCTGAATAACAGCCTCATTCTGCTCATCCGCCGACCCCAAGGCGGAAGACTACTCTATTGCTATTCGTCGGTGAGGATGGATAACTTGGGACGCCTGCTGGGTAATCCTGTTTTCAACTCCTGGATCAGAAACGGTACCGAACGGCTTTACCTCAATCTGTCCTCCGTGAATAAGCCCTTCGAGCACTTGGACTTCGATGAAATGGCCAAGAAGATTCAGAAAGACTGCATCCAAAATAACCAAGTGCGAGAGCTGAAGCTGCCACATTTTGGTTATGAGGAACTGATCTGGAACTTGGGACACACCCGGTTGTATGGCCAAATTCGACCGATGGGCACCTTGGCCCAGAGTTACAAGCATCTCAGCAGCGATTTAGGGCGGTTCCAGTGTGACGATAACTCTGTAAAGATAAATGTCTGCATGATCCTTGATTGTGAGGCAGCTTTAGAGGCGCTACATACCGACTCGGGGTCACGCACGCTGACCCTTCCCCTGCGACAACTCAAATGGACGCCACTGCCCACCCGAATGCATCTCCGGCAGTTATGCAGCCTGCTGCGTCCCCAGCATATCGACGGTATTGTGGCCTTCCACTCGGCGGGGAATATTCCCCAGGTTCCGGCTTTTCTTCAGTGTTTCAAGGAAGCTTTTGTCGAACGAAGCAAAAAACCTAAGGCGCCGGAAAAAAGCCCAAAAATCGGGGCTCCAGCAAATACCTATAGAGTATTGAAAACGAATCGAATTACTTTTGCAGACGATGGCAGCGAGTCAGATTAAAAATATTGTTAATTTTTTTGTATTAATTTCAATATAAATATCATTACCTCTTTTAATATTAATTTTAAGCAGAATTTAGGTGAATAGTGTTGAAATAGGTGATCGTTTTGAAAGTGTTTTCTAAAATGAATTGTGTATTTTGTAAACAAAAAAAATAAATTTAAAAAAATAAATAATTTGGGAAAATATTTAGAAGCTTTTTCACCTCCAACAGCTGATTGTTATCGATTTATGTGGGTTAACTTAAAAGATACGGTCATACTTTCTTCATAATTAAGCATACATATAATTAAACTATTTAAAAAAATAACTATATAATCTCTGGGCTCTGAAAAAAACAAAAAAGTTACTAATACAATTTATTTTATACCAAAGTGAAAAATTTTTTTAAACTGCTGGTATTTTATTTAAACAAAGTATGACCATGATCAGTATTTACCAAGTATGACCAAAGCTATACCGAAAAATCATTTCCGTTTCCGAGTCTTTTCATTTTCACGATGAAGCGAAACGTGGCTGGCGAGGTGATAACTTTCAATAATTACTTATTGAAACTGCCTATTGAGGTCCTGGACTTGGTGTACACCGAGCTGTCAGTGTTTTCGAAGGTCAGTTTGGCTGAGGTGCATCCATATTTGGGAAAAGCATTATCCTGGCACTGTCGTGATGCGTTGAAGGAAATTAACCTCAAGAGATACCCGTTCAGCGGTTGGGAGACTCTGCTGTCGTTTTGTGGCCACACCGTGAGAAAAGCCACCTTTGATGAAACCGACCATGAAGACAAGTTTATGCTATTGAGTATGTTCTGCCACAACCTGGAGATACTCGAGATCAATTTTCTGTCAGACACGACAAGGCGTCTAAGGAAACTCGATGGCCATTTAAAGCCGAATGTTCCGATTGAACTGATGAAAGTTTGTTCCAAAATGGAATCAGTGAAACAGTTGATAATACGTCAACTTTTACAATCGCAAAGTAAGAGTTATTTACCTAAACTACCATATATGTATTTTATTGAAAACCATTTTGATTTCAGTTCCCTATTTGAAAACATTGAAAAATGTGGAGCATCTGAAAATTGTTGGTGCATATAGTACCCGGAGGTCTTGGTCCCTTGCAGAATTGCCTTTGAACACTCTACGAGTCGCCGTGTTGCGAGACTTTTCTATAAAGAGCACAAATGAGAAGATGCACAGCTCGACGTTGGAAAAGCTTACCATTATTTTTTGCACCGTTAAGGGTGAAATGCCATGGCTCCCCAAACTCAAAGCGTTGCATTTTATCTTAAACCAATGCTCTGAAGACAGTGCTTTCCCGGGTTGGGTAATGCAACACTCCAAAACTTTGGAGTTATTGAAGTTCTGGGAAGACACTTTTCGGCCCGGCTTTTTTTTGAAGGTTTTCCGAGGCTGCAAAAATTTAAAAACCCTTATCCTTTATGCAGCTTGTAACGATAAAATTATACCACGAATTTTTTTCAAAAAATTCGAAGAAATTCTAAAGGAGCATGGATTCAACAAAAATAAAAAATTGAAACTCAAATTGCATTACCAGGGAATAGAAGAAAAACGAGTAGTAAGTTTCTGGAGATAAAATAACTAATTAAATGTTAATTACCTTCGAAACTAATGCTTTCAGCTAAAGAGATTTTGTTCAGAAATGGTTGACCTTTCTTGGTGCCGGAATATGGATCTGTTTTTTTTAAACTAACATTTTTGAAGCTATTATAAAGCGAACGTAATGGCAGTCGTACGTAAGTATAATTAATAATTGCCTATACTTACATTCTATATAAACTATTTAAATCTTTTAAATTATATAGAAAACATAGAAGTTCCTAAAACAAAAGTGACGGATATGTGATTACTATAAATCAATAATAATTCTTCAATAATTCTAATTCAATAATTTCTTCATCCTTTTGCAAATAAAAATACTTGAAACACTATCCCGATTTTTAATTTATTTTATTTATTATGTATGAAGGATTTCTATTTGGTCAAATGCAAGCTACCGGAAAATCGTGCAAAAATTAATAAACATATGAATGTCTGAGGACATTCAAAGGACCACATATCCATGCCTTTCAGTTGGCCCAAAGGGGTTTTTTTCCGTAAAAAGGTTGTTAAAATCATTATGAAATGCCTGTTGGCATGCAGGAAGCTCTGCCATTTCCCCGATTCCAGGACCCAGGTCCAGGACAAATGACCACTTATCAACGTGTAGTTGAAATATGGTGCATCTGCTGCCATAAAAGACAGCCCAGCCCCCAGTTGGCGCCTTTGTCCTCGCTGGTCGCTGGTCAGCCTTTTGTGGGTTCTTGGCATGTCCTATGAATTATGGTGATGGTCCTCAGACTGGCCCCTCTCCACCCCCCCAGTGTGGGTCTCATTTATTACATTTTGGCTTTTTGACAGATTGCTAAGCGTAGTAAGCGTTTCCGCACTAATTTCCGTGTCCTGCAACTATTCGTTGTCTGGTAAGGTTACTACACTTGAAGAAAAAAGGGAATAACATAACATAAACTTAAAAAAATAATTAAAATGTTTTATAGTCTAAAAAGAAGGAGAACTCAGGTAAGAACTTCTTAATTTATTTTATTAGAAATGGACTTGAGTTTTAAAGAGTGTCCTATCTTATTTTCAGTGTCCAATGGGCCAACATTAAAAGCCAAAAGCAAATTACTCATCACATCAACGGTCAGCAAAGGGTCTGGCTTTTTATTATGTATGCCATGTACTGGGATTTTAATAAATCGTTTGCTTCCATCTTCCATACGGGTATCATTCCGCCTCTTGTTCGACATCCTTGCACACTCCTGCCCTCTCTCTCTCTTTATGCCTTTGGCTATCTCTTTCTTTGGCATTTTATTAGTTTGTCAATAAAGTGGCAAAGACGTTGATTATGATCGTCATATATTGCCTCTCTTATGAGTTATCCAGCCGATGGCCTGCAGGCTACGAAAATTTACGAGTCCTGCTCGAATCGCTTGCCAGATATGAGATTGTTTATTTCCTTCCGTTTGCCATCCTTTTGACTAGGACATCTTGTGTTTACTTATCCGTGTTTTGTGTTTCCTTTTCCTTCAAAAAGGACCTAAAATTGAGAGAAAGGTTTAAGTTTTTCCAATAAAAAAGTGCCTCAAGCTAAAACAGCCAAATATTGAATGTGAAATTATTATCTTCAATAAAAATATCTTCATTTTATTGTTATCTTATCTAAGAGTCTAATCTAATTTAAATTTTGTGTAAAATCATTTAAGAAAACATGGCAGAAATGGCAGAACAAGTTTCTTACATTTGTGTTCATGTTCCAGGATCCACTTATGTACATTCATACCTGCGTACTTCTGCATCCTCCTCCAAGGATGGCAGCTTTTTGTCCTTCGTGTGCACTTTGTAATGAATTTTTAATGCATCTGTGATGCCTGGCCATGTTTCACAAACAGCCAGCCAGGGTTAAGCTGGGCGGAAGATGGGAACTTACTCCTTTAATGAAATTAACTTTTTCTTTCCTTCCTCCTTTGGCAAAAACTGAAGTAATCAGATGCGTTACCCTCTCAATGAGTTTTATTTATAATTGAATTACTTTTAAGTGGCTTTCAAGTGGCGAATAGTTAATTAGGATTCCTTTTAATTAAAACATATGAAAACATATTCTAAGAGCAGCTTCAAATTATTGGAGATGGAGTTAAGATATGTGTTCTATTCAAGATTACTTTTCTTTAAAATGAAATTGAATTCTGGTTAGATTACAGGGTTCAGATTAGCACACCATTGAAGCAAAACGGACACGCGCTTGGAATTAAATTGAAATCGTAATTTCAGATTAAATATGCCCTATGATTGACACTTGCATGCGTCCGTGATTGAAGGCGGAAACGGATGTCCTGACCTCAGAGGTTGAGGTTTTCGGCTGGCCAGGTTAACATAATTGGCCCTGCCCACGAATCTTGCTTTATAACCATTATCCTGGTCTGCTTAAGCCGCTAATAACCCATCATTTTTGTGACACGACCAACGTGTGTGGGTATCCTGTTACCAAGTCGCGTGTCCTGGCTGCAGGAGCAGCAATTATGACCACTTAATCCGTGGCCACGAAAGGAAAAGAAACTACAAATTGGTTTAGGCATTCGCCTGAATATTTGCCGCTTAAGTGGCCAGCAGTTTTCATTCGCATATGAAATATGAATAAAGGATTCGTTTTCACCCTTATCTTATGGAAAGGGGTGGGTTTTTCCTTTTGAATAAAAACCCTCTAGCTGGGCATCACTGATCTTGTTTCCCAAGTGCCTAAAAGTATGCAGTGTTTTTTGTGGAATACGATCTTTCAGATACGATATTGGCAAGCCCACAAAAAAAATGTGAATAAAGTAATTATTTTGTCCAATTAAGTCATATTAAGTAATGAAAGAGCATCATTATAGTTATTAAATTGAAACCATTTCAAATTCAAGCTGAAATAAGCGAAATTAAACACCTTCTTGCATTTTATTATTTTTATTTTTTATTTTGTTTTTTTGTTGCACGTTTTTTTTGTTGTTCTGTAAATCTTACATGATATTTATGCGCTTTATATCATTTACACATACACATAGATTTATTCATATTTCTAAATATTTATATTTCTGGTTGTCTTATGAACATATTCATGAGATCAGTAATGATATTTATGTATATATTAAAAATATTACAGCATAATATAAAATGTACAAGTTAAACAAAGTTTTCCTGCTTCCGAAACACAAAACAAAAACAGAAATTTATTCATAAATTGGATTTGACAAAATCGCTGAAATCTATAGAAAACCTATACGATTGAAGTTACGATATATGTATATATTCATTATATGTACGGGTATTTAAAAAATACGCGTTCATATCTGTAATTGTTTTGGCACCAAACAAAATTCTATACAAAAAATGGCATTTGATTCTATGATTCGAACTGCACTATATACAGAGGTCGAGTAGAGATACTTAAGTTTACTAACAAAAAAACGGATTAAGTCGCATTGGGTGAAACGTATGTATATAAATTTCATGTATTCCATTCTGATTGAATTGTTCCTTTTGCTTCGTTTTTCTCTAACTTTTTGTTCGAGTATTTATGGCAACCAAAAATCGATCCAATTGTTTATGTCGATTTCTGGGCGCGAGGCCACAAAACTTTACCGAGATCATTGTGAAAACTAATTAGCAATGAACTAGGGATTTCCCCAACCAGGACAGGTTAGGGATTCCCAGTTCATTTGATGCAAAAAAATTTACAAAAATAATTTTTCAATTGGGTTTTTTTTGGAAATATTGTACTGTTTTGTAATACAAATTATGATTAATACATAGGCAGGTATGTACGAGAAAACATATTCTATTTGATTGTGTGTTGTGGTCTGGCTGTGGGATCTGGTTGGGATTGGATTGGATTTGATGGGTGGTATACTGTTCACTTATATCATATACAAAATAATATTGCTCTATATACAAAAAAAAAATAAGAGAGACTGTCATCCAAAGACAGTTCAAAAAACGAACTAAATCGACTCTTATCTAAAATATTTTGCTTAAACTAAAACGCTTGGCGAACTTAAGATTAACTTTTCATTAATTTTTGTTTACTGTTTCGCTGTTTTCACTTTTCACTTTCTGCTTTTCATAACATTTCTTCTCATTGTAAAAAAACGGTTGAAATATTTGTAATGTATATAAATCCATGAGATCAATGCGATTTTTGGGAATTGTTTTTTCTATCTTTCATTTTTTTTTTGATTGTTTTTTTTTTCGCTATGTTCGCTTTCATGTCACGGTAATCGATTAGCATTGAAACGCCCGGGAATTTGTGAAAGCAAATATTGAAAATCGCCACGAAAATAAGGGTCTTTCCGCTACATTTCTTTTTTTACTTTGGCTATTTGCGGAGATCAATTTCCATTAATTTCCATTGTGAGAGATCATTTGTGTGCATTCCAAAAAAAGACTGTCTAAGAACGGAATCAACCCTGGCGACCTTCAACCTATTACGCTCTCAACTCCCTGGGGCGGGCGGCTTAACTACTAGATTGTGAGACCAATTTGAAGATGATGATGAACAAACAATGACAAAAATTATACAATTACAATTAAACATAAATCATAAGAAATTTAACTAAAATAACATGACATAAACCGTAGACACAAAACATCACAAAAATGGCATAAAAACTATATACAATATTAAATCATAATTCTTTTAATCCTGTCCTTTTTTTTTGTTGTTTAGTTTTCTTTTTTTTGTTTTAACAATTAAAGCTAAGTGTGTGATTTTTCTTGCGGGCTTAGATCTAAAAAATTCTACTAGTTAAACATATTTAAAATATATTTTGTTTTTCATTTTTCTTGCAATTTGGAATTACAAATGCGAAGACATTGAAATTGCTGTTTACTATATTCTACAATAGAAGTGGATTTACTTTTTTTTAAGAAAATGCAAGTGGAAATGATTAAATGCAAAACAAAGACTATCAAAAGTATCTCAAAAATTGGCAGTTTTCTTTTGCTTTATATATATCTTTTTTTTTTAATTTTTTGTACTTGTTTTTTTTTATATAATTTGTAAATATTTTGTTGTTGTGGAGTTCAAAAGTGTTGTACAAAATATATGCATTCGCAAAAAAATAAGTTCGATTTGAGTCTCTTGCCAGTCTAAGAGTTTTCATTACTTTGAGCAGTTTGAATTGTTGTATTTGAGGAAAGTGTAGTTTCTTTTTTAGAGATACAAATGCAGTTACCACATAGGCAAATAGACAGATAGACATTCTAGACAGTTGGAATATATTGTTCTTGTGTCCCGTCAACCTTCTTATATCCCTATTCGGTTTATATTATTATTCGCATTACGAATTAATGACTTTCTGCAGATCCATTAAATTCGTGGCACTAATATCTATGCTGTAGATCGGTATTTATCTTAAGAAGTAGCTGATTTCACTAAAAGATCGTTCGTTTCGATACGAGTCGGGGGGCGGTTTCATCGCGCCGCAAAAAATCCACAGCCCATGGCCAAAACGAAAACGGTGACAACTGTGGGCCAAGTGAAGCTCTGGGGTTTCTGAAAATAAAAATATAAAATTATTTAGTATTTTATTTTACTCCCCTGTGTCGTATAAAGTATCTAAAACCACACACGTGGCCAAAACCATCCCTCTCGAACTCGTAAATCAAACGCAACTATAGACTGGCTATCCGAATGAACTTCATGTGGCTGGACGGGGCTCTATTTTTGTCCGGTCAATGGTGTAATTATTTTCGTATAAAGAGCACTTGACTCTCCATCTCCATCACCATCACCCACCCGCATCAATGGTTATATAATTTACACCATTTATTTGTCCAATATTCCACGCTTCAATGGTCGCAGTCAGTGTGGCACGTGTGAGGTGCATGATGAGGGTGGTGGTGGCTTGACCCTCGCATTTATTATGCAAATTTCCATTTCTGTTATTTTTGACCGAATTTTGGGTTTATTTTGTTAGGATTTTGTGACAGTATCACTGTGGTTAATGGTACGAAAGGCCATCGAACATGTGGCAGAATTTTGATGCAATTTTCGGAGTGAGTTTCAAATAGTAATTACTATGAAATGTTGTATATAAAGTGCGTATTTGATATATATAATACTTTTCAGATTATAGAACTTCTCACGCTCCCGATTCGCAGCTGACAGAGTCTCGGATAAGGTCGCATCCCACCAGCCAACTGCTCTATATATATATTTTTTCCACTCGTCTAGTAGCTAGTAGCCTCCCCAAGGATAGGCCCCCTTGTTGCGATAAGAAACGTTTCAATTGCAAATGAAAAAATAAAATAAATCAAAGGCTAGAACTGGAAATGGTATCAAGTCCCAGTCAGAGTCAGAGTCTGAGTCAGTGTGTGTCATGCAATTGCGATTGAATTTCTTCAACTTTGCATTTCTTTCAATTGCGCCACAAAAACTAAAACTAAAAACGCAACGCGTATTTATAAAATATATATTATAGTATGTGTGTATTAAAAAAAAAAAGCAGAAAAACGTAAGCTCGATGAGGGCTGCTGACACAAAGGCCCGACTTCCAGAGGCGCCTGCCTCGATTAACATAAAGCGATGCGAGCTGAGGAGACAAGTGACAAGAGCTACTCTTTCCACGGGTCCGGGGAACTGCGCAATTAATTTTTATCACACAGTTAGCATATGCAGCGAAAAAAAAGTGTTATACATGCCCAGGGCCGGGTCTTGCCGGGTATCTGTATCTGCGCGCCACCGCCTGCATCTGTATCTGTATCTGAAAACTCCTTTCGCGTGTGGCAATTTGTCATTCCTGGATGTATTTTTAGTCAACTTCTAGCTAGTTGAGCCTTTGAAAAATGTTTGCCACGTGCCGGTGTGGAACGAGGATCGCACAGATGTTGCCTCCAGATCTGCTCCTACTTGTGAGTTAATGAACTCCCTAAGTTGGCGGCTCGTGTTATTCTAATTACGCTCCTGGGGGGCACAGGAGGTGCGACTATCTTCCCTCTATATATCTAAGTTGTATTTAATTTAAAAATTAAGTTAAAAACTCACCTTTTTCTCGGCCTTTGCCCTCTGACGCTCCCGTTCCACCTGCCGCTGATGGTTCTGGCTATTGGTGATGTTGTCGCTGCACTCCGACGAACTAGTGCCCAGTTGGCTCTCGTTTTGGGTGATTGGATTCAAAGTACTACTACTGGTGGCACTTGTTTTCTTCTTCCGGGGCGGAATACGTCCATTGAACTCCTGGAGACGCTCCCGTCCGGCCGTAAAGTTGTCATAGCGATCGTCAAACTCGTCCCAACTGGTCTCATAATCGCTCTGATACTCGCGCTCATCCTCACCCGTCGAGGTCAATCGCTTGCTGTTCGAGAATCGGAAAGAGGGGCATAATGGTTCTCTATAAATATCACTGAATATATACTATACTATAATATATGTATGTATGAAGGCTGGGTCTTGGCAACGTCATGAGCAATTATCAGTCTGGTGTCGGTTCTCTATATACATAATCCCATGAATACTTGGCCGATTTCATTAATTAAAAACTTGGCGCAGTTTCATGGGAATTGCATTCGCAAATGGGTAGTGACTTCCAGATTAAATAACAAAGTGATTACAAATCGAATCAATTTCTGCCACCAGCTGATAAGCCCTTTAATGTTGTATCTACTCACCGTCTGGCCGCATCCGACTGGCTGCGCTGGAGTCGCATCTTGGGCGCCAGTGGCGCCGACAGCGGGGTGGAGGCCAGCCCGGGGCTGTGGATGGGCTGGTGGCTCTGGGGCCAGCCGAACGCCACCGAGGAGGTCGAGGCGCTGCCGGCACTGGCGGTGTTCGGCGTGGGTGGCGGCGTATAGGAGGCGTAGTAACCGCCCATGCCGTACGGCGACGAGTGGTGCTGTGCCATCAGGTGGGGTGCTGCCGACTGCTGCGGGTAACTGTGGCTGCAGTGCATCGCCGGCGCCGACTGCGGTGGCATCGGTTGCGGTGTCGATGGCGCCGGATATGGCGCATGGTGGGTCGCCTGCCGGAAGAAGTTGTACTCCTCGCCGGCCGAGAAGCTCACGCTGGTGCGGGGAGTGCGTGGATGGGGATTCGGATTGGGGGGGCCGTGGGGAAAGAATATTTCGCCACCCGTGTAGTTGCAAGAAGGACTCGGCGGTGGTGGATACTGGAAGATGTGAGGGCCTGCAATGAAATAACAAAAATAGGACTATTAAAATATTAAAAATAAAAAACAATACTCCCTCGGATCACCTGCTGCCCACGTTCATCATAAAGATCGCCCAACAATGGAGCACTGGGTGAGTAAACAAAGGCGGCATTGGCCAGAGATCTGGAGCTGGCTGGGTTTAAGTGACAATGCGGGGAAGTGTCTAAGGTCGGGGCTTTGTGAGGTGCATTGTCTTGCCAACTTCCAACTGGCCGGCAGTAAAAACTGCTATAATTACGGCAAGGCAAGTCCTCGCCGATCGTAAAACCTTCCATAAAAAATGATCAGGTAGCACAATAAAATTGGATATCTTTATATGGCAATGGAGCTACCTTAACCTCATGTTCCATAATTAAGTAATAGTCTTAAAAAAAAACTTATCTCCAAAGTTCAATCAACTCCCCAAAAGATGCATTTTCATCTAATTGTAGATGCTGGCTCTTATCCGATATCCATGAACAATAACAAACAATCTTCCACTTGTTCGCAAGCGATAAGTACCTCATAAGCCGCCTGAAGATACATTTGTATCTGCCATTGAAGCACCAGCCAAAAATCAACTTGAAAAGCATCTGTATCTGTATCTGAGCTTAGTGTTCTCAGATGCAAATCGACAACAAAAGCACTTCTAAGCTGGCCACTTGGTATGCGCATAAATTTAAAAAATAAAAAACTATCCATTAGCTGGATAGGGTGTGCGATTTCATTTTCATACACATGACTTCTTAATGTTTATTTACTTAAAAAGCTATTTAAGATCGATTGTAATGCAAAATTTATACAAATCGCTGGCGGCGGAAGCCGAGCATCTGTCTCTCGCGTCGGTTCTGGTGGTCAGTATCGAGATATACCATAATGTCACTCACTGTCAACCTGCAGGCCACTAATTTGCAATTTGACCCAATACCCTTGAACTCGAAACGGCCAGAATCGAAACGAAATGGGCCCACAGCTGTTGCTGCTGCAGTTGCAAGAAAATCTGTATTTAATTGCTGGCCAAAGCTGAGCCACTCCTTGCCTGAACCGTGTGTATCTTACAGATACTTGGCAGGCATTTGAAACTAGTTTGCTGGTGGTATCTAGCCAACCAGCTGAGTAGCCGAGCAGTTGAGCAGCTGAGGCCTGCCTGGGGCCTGAAGCTCACGTGCGCTAACCGCGCGCCATCGTCGTTGCTTCTAACCTTGAAAATCTGCCAGCTCCAGCCTCAGCTTCACCATCAGGCTTTTAGCTTCGGCTTTGGCTTCAGAAACGAAGCGAAACCATAGCGAGAGCCAGAGGCAGGGATCATTACGGCCTGGCCAACTTGTATAACTAGCCGTGTCGATGGCAGTGCCTTTATGATGAAACTGACGAGCCCCAGTCAGATATAAAGAAAAAAAAATTTTATTACTAATTGCAAATTGTGTGGAAAATTATCTGCCAGCACTTAGCATATGAGATACATTTTTCATCGAATGTGGCGGAGGGGGAAGTGCTTAAATAGCTTAATATTAGAGAGTATCTGATAGCAGCTTTCAGTCACTGTTTTTTTTGGAAGACAACTCTATCCGGGGGCTTTACAACTTTTATGATCGCCACCCGATGCGGGCGCTGCTATTGTGGTTGGTGACGAAACGTGACCAATTGTCACTAGCCCCCTCCTGCATTCGATTATAAATTATTTCTTTTTTTTCGCAAGCCAACAATATGTGAAAAATGTTTAATTGAATTACGAGTACTCTGCGGAGATCGTAGTGGCATCTGGACAAAACTAAAGTTACAAAAAAAAAATGCAATTATGTGTATAATTTACTTAAATTTTTCCTTCGGTTCTAGGCCGCTTCGGAGAGACCCAGCTGACAAACATCAATCAGGCAATGGCTAAGGTTTAACTAAGCAGAACGCCTCAGAAAAAGCCCCAAGAACAGCTCGGGAAAAACGTGAAAAATGCCGAGCTGTATGTTACGCTTTAGTTGTGGCTTGGTTTGTTGTATCATTGTATCTGTTAGTGCCACACAAAAGAACAAATCGTCGTCGCTGGCGTTGTCGTTGAAATGCATTTTTAGTTGTGCCTTAGCCAGTTGATTGCATTTGCTGGCTGGCTGGCTGGCGGCGGACCCGCAGCATATGTTGCTCATTATAACCTTGAAGTGCTAAGCTAAATGCAAAATGTAAAAAAAAAAAAAAAAAAAAGAATGAACTACACATAAAAATATACTAGAGTCACTGCTGCAATTGCAAACTATGAATAAATACGAGTACTCGACGGAACAATTGCGTCGCACTTCGAAACGAGTTTGAGAAGTGCGAGTTCTATAAGTTGGTCAGTGGAACGGAATGGGAAATGCTGGCTGGGGCTATACATTGGCCAGATATCGAGGAAGGAAGCTATAGATATAAGGTCTGAGACTAATTTCAAGACGAATATCTCAGCCGAAATATACTCCAAAGCAGCAACTTCACTTGACATTGACATTTATTGATGAATTTTTAAAATTTAAAGAAACACAACTGAAACATGCTGAAGATGACAGAACAAAGGAAATACTTCACAACAAGCTCGGTCTGTCTGGCTGTGTGTCTGGAGTTGGGAAGCAAAGCTCAAGATTACACGAGACCTGAATAATTCAGTTAAGAAACACTCATTTTACAGTTAACACAACACCGCCCACCCAAGACGACAATGAAAACAAGCCACAGAAAATGATGTAAGTACATTTTTGAAGTCATTCATTTAAGGCGATTTGTCGACTGTCACGACTGATGCGAGATTACCAATTTGGTTGGCCAACTCACATTTCAAGGCAAGTGACTAATTAAAAGGCTCTTCTCAGGAAATTGCCTCAGAATTCGGGAAATAATTACGGCAAGTGTACGATCTCCAGATAAAGAATCCTCAAGCTTACTACAGTTTCTAGAAATGCCTTTTTCGGGGGCTTTACAATTCGATCATGTCGATCTCTCGACTCGAATGTCAATCAGCTGCCGATCTATGTTTCTATTTAAAGATCAATAGATATTCCGATTTATGGCCATATGTCCCGCTGTTAATTACCAATTTTGGTTTGGCGGATAATTAGCCATTTGGAGAATTGGCTTAAAATATGCGGAAGCTGTTTGACAAATTTGGGAAAGTCATTTGGGTGATTCATGGCAGTAGAAGGAGAAAGTTCTGGGATTTAAGCAACTTGCGTAATAATTTGCGGAAAGAGAAAGTTTCTTTGTTGGAAGATCCGGGAAGTAAATTGAAGAATTCGTGAGAAGAATTCTGGAAAGCAAAGAACTAAGGGCAGTGCATCAAGAGCTATCTAGTTTGTCAGCAAGGTCAGCATACATATATTATTCTCATAAAAAGATAATTAAACTGAAATGGGGTCAGTAATATATGCGAGAATTAGATGAAAAATATTTTAGGAATTAAAAGCCGTTGCGAAGAGCTATGTACTTTAAGGAATGAGGAACCCGGTTGAGGGACAGCTGAATAGAATTTCAAAATATTCATTCCCAGCCCCGCATTGAAAGCATTTTTGTGGAAATAGCTCAAACGCTTATCACGCCAGCCCAGCTAAGGCTAGCAGATACGAAGCTCTGGGGTCTAGAGCTTCTCAAATGCAATTTTTCAATTTCCTATCCAGGGTCTGGTATCCAACAAAGGAAAAACAGCTTAAAAGGCTATAAAAAGCTAAAGGAAAATCAGGCAGAGGATGCACATCGATTGACAGGAAAGTGAGCGAAGCACAAGTCCTTGGTCTTGGCAGTTTGCATATTTTTAGGAGGAGATTTGGTAGCATGTGTTTTGTGTCCCAAAAGGAGCATATAAACAAGGCTACCCAAAGCACTAAAGTATAAAGGATTGAATAAAAAAAAATATAAATAAAAATACTGCCAATCCAGCAGAAGAGCTTCAGAAAGGTTCTCAAAACTTAAGTGCCAGGTTTATGTTAATTCTTAAGTAAATTTTACCAACTTCCGGTATTAAAACTTTATGCTATAAATATTATTAAACAATCACCCAATTTTATAGCAGCATTTAGCAGTTTCCACCCTGCTGCAATTAACAACGTAAATGTGAAAATTACAATTAAACAATAAATAAAACTGTACGCCAGCATTCGATCAGATGCAACGCAATTAAAATAATTAAAAAAAAGAGAAGAATAAAAAATGAGAAAAAAAACTGTAGCCACAAAACGGCAAACTGCACGTCTCGAACGGCAACGGAAAAAATTTATTAATAAATGAATGGAAATTACATATGCGAGCCGGCTGGGGCAGACTGGCTGGCTGTCTTCGGTGCGTCATGCCCAGCCACTCGGAGCTGGCGTGCCCGAAGGGTTATCTATTGCCGATCCACCGCCACCGCCGCACCACCTCCGGAAACCACACGAGCCACCCACTGACTACCGACTACAATTACACGAGCTTATTTGTTGATAGCCAAGTGTTGTTTGGAGGTTCCAGTTATCGCATTCGATACTGTTTTCCAAGAAACATTTCCTCAAATCGGGCATTTATCCTTACATCCTTACATCCTTAAAACTTTAAAGCCACCTCGCCAATTATAACAAGTAGCCAGGTATACTGTCTGTGTCTGTGCCCGGCTAAGAAGCATATCCTGTTCTTAGTTTTCCGCCTTTTGATACATATCCTTTTCCACTTCTGCCCTGAGCATCACGGCACAAGTTCCTTTGTCCTCCTGAATGGTAGACGACTTGTCGAGGATGGCTGGGTGACTTGTCTAGGCTCGATTTCATAACAAAAACTTGAGCACGTTCCAGAGGCAGGTGGCAGGTGGCAGATGGCAGATGGCAGGGTGTCGCTCTCATAACTTAACCCGAACGCTTCAATGCAAACAATTTAGCACGGCCTCCAAGGAGACTTAATCAAAAGACTGTGGAGCTCAGTCGGGGCTCATCCAGGTAGCTCCTGTCTACGTATAGTGTCGCCAAAAGTGTCAAGTTTATACTGTTTTTTTTTTTTCTTATTAGCCAAAGTGCCTGGCGGGCATTTAAACTTGAAAAAAGTATGTAAAGTTCATTGCGCTGAATGGTGTGAAATGTCAACAGTCTTGAGAAGAAATAGTTGAAAGATTGAAGAAGTTAAAGGTTTATGTTTCACATCTGCTGGCAAACTATGTACTTTATGTAGCTTTTATGGGGAAATATTCGATTTGTCGCAGCTGTCAAAAGATCTTTATGTTGGCCATAAAATCGTAAAAAAAAGCTTAAATTAAGTGAAACAATTACAAAAAAATACGCAGCTCAATAAAAGCAATTTACATGAAAAAGCAAAGCACGAAAAAGCAAAAGCAAAAGCAGAGAAATAAATAAAAATTCACGGTCAATAACAGTTTTGGAAAAAAAAGCAAAAAACGGCAGCTTGGCAACAGGGCCAACCTCATCGAGATGCAAATGATGAAAACCCCTCTCTTATTCCGCCATTTCTCCACCACCACCACCGCCCACCCCTTCTAGGGATAGGCTGTACAAAAACTTGCGGTTAATAGGCACTCCCTCTCTTAGGATGCTACCCTCTCTCTTTCTCTGTGCGCACAGTCAGCTGAGCTTTGTTGCCAGGCAGGCAGGATAAAAGTCGCCATTTTTGCCGCCATTTTGCCCTGTGTTTACCGTTAGCTTCCGCCAAGCCGAGCGCCAAGCGGAGTGCCTACGAAGTTGCCGAGCAAAACAAAATGGTTGAAAATGTCAAGTGCGGCTGCGACGCCGGCAGCAACAAACAACGCCTAGCAGCAAAACAGCTGTTGGCAACAGAGCCGGAGGTTGGCGAATGATGCGAATTTGCATAGCAAAACGTAGAGGACAAACATTGAGGTTAGGTTGGGTGCTCAACACTGTTGCAAAATAGAGGTTATGTTTTGGAAGATTTTTTTAAAGGTTTTTAAGAGAATGTGAGATATTTAAATAAATAAAAAATAATCTTTTAATATTAATTATTAATTTCTTATTTATTAAAGTTAAAAAATATTTATTTTTTTCTGTATACCTAGTCTGAAAATCTGCTGTCATTGCACCTTTTGTCGGCTGGCCACGGGAGTGGGTTGTAGGCCGACTCTAGGATGGATGCTTAATCCTCTCCCCAAACAAAAGGACTCCCTGCTCCTCCTTTATTTGGGAGAAGCTCTTTGGGTATTTAGGAATTTTTGTTGGGGTTGTTTGCGCCTCGCATTTTTAGGCTTTTAGGGTTGCTAGGTTGCTGGTTGATGACTAAGCGTTTTGGGAGGATGCTCCCATCTGTTAACAGGAGTTTATCCCGTTCTTGTGTTAAGAGCCTGGCAAGCATTGTTCACTAGTTTAGGGATGTGTCACTATTAGATAAATTATATACTTGAGTGACTTGAGCCACAATTGAGAGCTGTTGTTCTAAGGGAGCTTTTTTTTTGTGGTTAAGAATCAAAAGGTTCTTGACTTTTGAGAGATATGTGTACTGTATATTGCACAACTTGAGATAATTTTACTAAAATGCAACGCCCAAAAGTGACTCAGAGGGAAGTCTACTACATTTTCAAGCTTGACCAACTGTTGCTGACAATCGCAAAAAAAAAGGTAAGAAAATAAAACAAAAATTTGTTGCAGCTCAACCGCAGCTGGCAATCATCGACAGCGACAAAATCTATTATGCAAAGGAAAAACAAAAATTAAGGAACGCTGAACAAAAAAATAAAAAACAGCAACCGCAAAGTAAACATGAAAAGCGCAAAAAAAATACACAAAAAATACTGACCGCACTCAACGGTTGCGGTGCACAAAAGCTACTTAAACAACCGTTAAGTCAAACACTTAGCAAATGGCCCCACACCCTCACCCTCAGCCTCACTCCACGCCCAGCCCCCGGTCCGCGGTGGAAAACTAGTCGCCTAAGGTCAAATGGCGTTTAATAATTTGGGTTACGACTCGGGCGCAACTGTAACAGATACGGGCATTGTGATTGAGATACATATCTAGCAGATACCCAGATACACACACACACACTCACTTGGAGGCGAGTTTGGCGCGTGCCAATTAAACGTGCTTAGCTCTTTGGCTTCCAGCTCTGTTTTACCGTCTTTTTTTCTGGCCAGCACACGCCCAGCTTTTGGCCAAGAAATAATATGGCCTGACAGCCCAGTTGGCAGTTGTCTTGCATCTGTCTCTAGTTGGGAGATTTCTGCGGCTATTTAGTGGGTCTGGAGTGGGTCTTTATAGATCGGGAGATTGTAATTAATACCAGGTTCTAATAAAGTGATATATAGTTCTAAGACGCATATCGTTAATTGAGTGTTTTATTATTTTTTGACCAAAAGCAGTAAACAAGCCAAGAAACTTAATACCATATTATTGTTTGCATTTTTGTGTCATCTTGTTTGCTTTTTAACTTCCTCCCCCGATCTTATGGTCTCAATTACCTTCAATTTTCCCCTTTTTTGAACTTCGATTCGATTAATTTTTATTGAATTACTACCCTTTTCGGCAGCGGCTTCCTTTCGAATGTGGCCGAGTAGTAATTTAATGCAAATACCATGTAGCCTGATAAGCTGGCAAAGTGCTGACCTGGGGCAGTTGCAGTCGGACGGGAATCGGAATCGGTTGGATGAGTCAACAACCTTGAAAAGTGAAACTCGCCCAAGGGGAACTGAAGCAGTTAACAAATGAAGTCACAACAACAACTTGGCTAATTGCTGACCCATTTTAAAATGCGGACACTGACTTTCGGGCCTGTTGAGATACTTCTTTGGGAATTCGATACCGTTTGGTGTTTCTTTTTACAAAAAGATACATTTTTTAAACAAGTTAAGGAAGGCTTGATCTTAAAATTAAATAGTATTTTAAGGACATTAATTTATGAATTTAAATGTGTAAATATTCTTAGGAAAAAGAATATTTCCTTAGGAATTCTTAGTTTTAAGAATAGTAGTAGGTAGTAGGAATGTATATGGGAATATCCTTCTTAAGATTATAATTTTTGGAATGTGAATATTTTTATTAAGAAGAAAATAATATTTTCTTAAGAATTATATTCTTATTATAAGAAGAATACTATTGTAAGGACGCATCCTATGAAATGGGTTCTTCCTTCATAAGATGATATTTTTTGAAACACGAATATTTTTAAAATTAATTCCGAGAGCCTTGCATTTATGAAACATAATAATGTTTCTCTCATCAAACTTTTCTTTTCCTATATATCTATAATAAAAATGTTAATATAAACTCTTATATTTTTCACTACAAGAGAAGTAAGAAAATAACTAAAAAGAATCAAGTTTTTGCAAGTCAATGAAATATTATTATCCATAACAAGTGTTTTAAAAAGGTTGTACACATAATGGTTGTAGAATTATTAGTTATTTTTCTTATCAGGAATTCTTGAAATACCGCATATAGAATTTTAAGATAAAGAATATTTTTTCTTTACAGTTTAGAGCAATATTTAGTTCTATAAGAGCAACAATACAGTTATATATTCTATATAAGATATAGAATAGAATACACCCATCACACCCTAGATATCTAGAATATAGAATAGAATATATAATCTATGTAGAATATTCTTTATTCTATATCCATGTTCTTAATTATATATAAAAGATTATTAATTAAAAATAGAGTATAAAATTATATTTAGTTTTTTCCTATTTAAAAGATAAAACCGAATTCTTAAGATCAAAGTTGAAGTATTTCAGAATCGTCTTTCAATAATCCACTTTTAAATTGTTAAAAACAATTTTTAATATTTGGAAATATTTAAATAAAATAATATTTTTGAAAAGATTTTCAAAAAACCCTTCAAAACTCACCGTTCTGCTGGTTCTGCTGATAGATCCTAACCCACTCGCAGAGGGCATAGAGCACCTGGTCGGTGGGCAGAGGCGACTGCATCGGCGTCTGCGTGGCCGAGGTGGTGGTGTTGGGCGACTGCGAGGCGACGCTGCTGGCGCCGTCGGACGAGGCCGAGGATGCCGCGGAGGAGGCTGAGGACACTCCCGAGGACGAGGATGAGGAGGATGCGCCCGATGTCGAGTGCGCCGAGAGCGGGGGGTGGCTGTGCGGATTGTGGGGGGAGGAGTTGCCCGAAGCACCCGATGAACTCGAGGCAATGTCATCGGTGCCGCCCTCGGGCAAAAAAAAGGGCACGGCCATCGTGCTTGTGTGTGGGTGGTGTATGTGTGTGTGTTTGTGGGTGTGATGGGTGCTTGCGTCCTTTATCCTTTCCTTCCGGCAGCTTCTTCCTGCTTTTTGTTTTCGCTTGGCTCTTCTTTTGATTGTTCTTCGCTCTACGTTTGTTTTCCTTCTCTATTTATTATTCTTTTCTTTTCGTTTCTTTTTCAGTTTAGAGTTCACTTTAATTTATTTTGTATTTTTTGTGCAAGATTTTGAAAATTAGAAACTTTTGCATTTTTTGTGCAGTTTTTGTTTTTTGTTTATTATTATTATTTTTATGGTTTTTTTTCGAACAACACTCAAGTCAAGTTAGTTTTCCAGATTCTTTTGCATTTTTCATCAAAACTTTCATCGGTTAGAACTTTTTATTTAAAAACACAATCACGAATTTTTAATTCTACTGGCTGCTGTTGTTGTTACTGTTGTTATCGATTGTTGTTTGGGGAAGCACTTAAAACGTGTTGCAGACTCAAAGAAAGAGCGTTGTTTCTGAGGAGAAAACACGTCTTACTGGCTCCGCGGCTAACTGCGAACTGTGCGGAGCCACCTCAAACTACAGGCCAGCGGAGCCAGGCCAGATACAGATACAACGTTGTAGGCGCTGCGGCAGGCAGGCAGTGCAGTGCAGTCTCTTGCGCTCTTTCTCGTTCTTCCTCTCTCACACGCTCGCTCCTGTACATGCACATGCATGCAGGTAGTTGCATGCGGGGGAAGAATACAACAACAAAAAAAAAGAGAGAATAATCGCCTCTTTTTTTATATATCCAGTACTCGTAGGGTTAATTGAAACTGATTATTGGAGATTTCCAATAATGCGGTGTTTAATGCGCAATGGCTTCAAAGCTTAACACTCATACGCAGTGTTGTCCCTTGAACTTCCGGTTCAGTGACATACAAGTCGTATGAGTGATTTTAATATTTAATATTTAATCTTTTAGGGTTACAGGGTATCCCAAAGAACGCAACCTGAGAGAAACTGAGAGTGAGTGGGCAGGCGGTGGCTGTGGGCTTGCTTATGCATGTGTGTGTGAGTACACAAAGATCTTGTTGAGCAGGTAACTCTGCTGGCAGAGGCAGAACAAGAAGAAGCAGCAGATAAGGTAGTAGAAAAGGCAGCAGCAGAGCGCTGGCAGCGCTGCTCAGCGAACACCAAAGCAAAACAAAAACTGCGATTGTACAATGCTCCCCTGCCTTTTTGTTGTTGGGATTGCTCTTGGTTTTGATTTTTTATTTCAATTTATGACGCTCTTGAAAACGACAGAGAACTGGCAACGAGAGAGCTACGACATTAAGAGACCCAACAAAAAAGTAGCAGAAAAGTAGCATTAAAATAGGAGTAGATACAGAAAACGGAGCCAAAAAGGGAGTCTATGTAATGGAGTAGAATCTGCTACTATAACTATGGATTATAAGGAAAAGAACTTGTTTTTGAACTATTGTTAAATTATTTTTAATATTTGAAATTCTTAAGAATTTAATGTTTTGTATTTGTCTATTTTTTTGCAAAAATTACACACTTTAGTGATCCTACTCCAAAACTAAGAATTCCTGCGTGGGTTTTGATTCAAAAACAAGTTTTGGATGTTTTTCAAAAATTATATTCGGATTTCGGTTACTGATTGATCAATTTCACCATATTTCAAAAATTGACTGTGCAACACGGAAACCAGTTTTTGCTCTTGCCCCTCCATCCCCCTCTTTCTACTCCCCATCCCCATCAAACAGGCTTGTTCACTTGTCTCGCTCTTACCAGCGCCTGTAGCATCTGTCCTTTTCTTAATTTTGCGCGCGAAAAGACTTGATAAATATTTTGAAACGCGCATTAAAACAAATATTTACATATGCATTTAATCTAAATTTTATGGCACAGTTGAGCGTCTTAATAACCGTTGGATTATTTAATTAACACAGCTTTTGGTAATCAGTATTTTGAGTTTATGGTCGAAGTAAAGAAATATTTATTAAGAAGTCAAGTTTAGCAACCAATTCCATAAATAGACACAAATTGAAATTTAATTGAATTATATAACTTAATCTTTAAATTGTAGAAAGAACATTTATTTTAAACTCTGCTAAAAGCTAAAGTATTCTTCATTAGCTAACACACATACAAGTTTTATTTTATTTAGCTTATTTATTTCTGTATAAAATATTATTAATATTTCAAAACATTATGCAAGGATTACCCCAGATGATGAAATTCATAAAAAAAATCATGTTGGCACTACCACACTGACATAAATCATGAACATGAGCGAGCATGCAACAAGCGAAGGAGTTCAAAGCATACAGAACAACAAAGAGGCTGATAAGGGGCGGAGAAGCAGAAGGAGAGCAGAACAGCGACAACACAGAAAAAGGGGCTCGATTTTTGTGATTTGTACTTTTTTTTTTTTATAAACTTTGCTTGCGTTTACTTAAGATTGGCTTTTTATTTTATTTTTTAACTCAAAGCTCTTTTATTTGCGACTCCAATTACTGGAGGGAGTGGCTCGGAGCGAGGGGCCCAGCGAGGGGCGGGTAGAGGAGTCTGTTGATTTGCGAGCAAAACTGATTAAGCGTAATATGAGTCCCATTCGACGTCGAATTGGCTGGCAGTGAACACAAATGGAATAATAAACAAAAAATATAACGAGTGGGGGTTGTTGGAGGTTCTTAAGAGGTAGAGGTTCTCAAGAACTGATAAGGTAACCTGAGAGAATATGGTGAAATTAATTGAAGAAAATTGTGTTAGATATTAAATACTAAATTCTTTGAATAATAAAGTATCAGTAGTCTAATCAAACCCAAAGATATGATCTAAAATAAATGGAGTAACGAGAAAATAAAAATTAAAAGACTTCCCTATTTGACATTTCTGGGTCAGCGACCCAAACAAGCATAGCACTGCTCCAACCCTCTTAACTGGGGGCCCAGCCCATATTGTTGTTGCTTTTATTATTATTATTGAATATGATTATGTGGCACGCTGCAAAAGCGAGCTTAAATTATTTATTACACAATTCCTGCTGCTGCTGGACTACTGCAACTGCCGCCCGCCCAACAAACAATGAAAACAAATAAATTTGTGCTTTCTGCTGGTGTTTGCAGTTTTGAATTGCTACGCAAAAAATTCACTTCAATAAAAATAAATATTAGTTCATATTTGCAATAAGTAGATGCTGTTACAAAAACAACAATCGCGACAATAACAACGGGGAGCAACCAATTAGGCGGCGGCTGGACAACAGTAAATTGTGCGCCTGCGCAGCGGCCATGGAGGATGGTGGATGGAGGAGAGGAGTGCACACAAATTACCGTTAAATTAAGAGCTAGCCAGTCGTCACTTAAGCGGTTAAGTTAATGCAGGGACATATAATAATGAAAATATTAAATATAATATGTAGTAATTAATATCTCTCAACTTATTCTTAAAGTAATTAAAGACAATATCGCTCCCTAGTCCCATCTTAGATTAAAAATGGCGCATCTCCAGGATGCAAGTGTCACTCCCCTATCAATTTATTGATTTAGAGCCCCATTTCCCCCTTTTCCTTAATTTTCCAGCAACATAAATATTATTCCCTCGAAGAAGTTACACTTTCGAGGGCCACCCATTTTTCATTCCCCTGCTGCCTGCAATCAGCATCTGCCATCTCCCGATGACCTGCTCTTGATAAGAGCTCCCAAGCAGCTCCCAGGAACCAAGCCAACCCCCTTCGTGCCGCGCCCATGCCAATTTCAATTGCAACTGCAGTGAGTGCAAATGAAGCGAGTGGCAGAAGTTACTTCCACTGAAAGATATCCAATGCCCCAAGAAGGGCTTACCACAAGCCCATCTTATAGTAACCATACGTATACTTAATATTCATGAATGTGAAAATAATTAGCATGCTTTTTGGGGAGGCAACTTTTTATAAACTTTAAGGAAGCCTCCCTTATAGTATTTTTTCGCAGTGTATGACCAAATACAGGGCCTAGGGCATTTGGCCCTGCATCTGATGAAAAGGAAGAAGCACGACCAGATGAGCGAAAGGCAGCACGCGACCAAAGCGTCACATGTGCCGCAATCTTGCCGAGCCCTATACACACACACGACCACACCATCACCCCCAGCATAAGCACCCCCCTTTCTTCCTTTTTCCCCAACGAGGGGGGCAATGGCAAACCGAGGCAGCTGCGAAAACGCCAAGAACGTTGACTTTATGGAAAAGGCAAAAAAAAATCGGGAAAAAACTGGAGAAGAAGGAAGAACATGATGATGATGTTAAGAACTTGATGCTGCACTGAAAAGGGGGGGAGCCAACCGCAGCCCTAAAAGAGATGGGGTGAGAGGGTGGTTGCAGCATTGGGTCCGTGGGGGTTACAGTGTTCCCAAGCCGGTGACTTTTAATATGTGTGTATTTCTTCAAAACGGGCATTTATAAGGTATTTTTTAGAAATATTTGTTTTATATACATTTTATTCAAATAAAATGTTATATCATGTAAAACTCTTACTTAGCCAATATTATTTCTTAAAAGCGCCCGTTTCAATATACTTTTACTATTAATTTATAAAAAAATAATTCTCTTTTTAAACTTATTTTTCCTGATGCTACTGCTCCTGGCACTGCCCTAACACAACATCATTACGAGGCACGCCATCATCATCATTATCATCATCATCATGAGCAACATTGGTGGTGAATAAAACAACACATCCAAGTGGGTCACTGACCTATCAAGCGCAAGACCTATTGAGCATCCAGCCAAATGGGCGTCGGCGGAGGGGTGGCAGTGGCGTTCCGGGGCGGCAGAAAAGCGAGGGGTGTGCTGGCAGCAAATGTTGCCTGTTGTCTGAAGGAAAAACCAAAACAGAAAATCCCTCTTTCTTTTTTTGTGCTCTCGCCGACTGTGCGGATGCATAAAAATGAAAGCGCAGGCGAACAAAAAATTAAAATAAACGAACAGGGGCGCCGGCATCAAGGGCAGGTCGCAGTGCAGTTCCTGTGGGGGTAGGGTGGAGTGCGGTCTGAATTCCCATACATATTTTAGAGGGGGAGGAAGGGTGTTCGGGGGCGTATGCGCGCACACTTTAGGTGTCAAAGTGAAACTTGGCCGCCGGCAACCCAACAGATTTTTTTCCCCCTTTTTGTGGCAATTTTATTTACATTTTGTTTCAGTTTCCCCTACGAAATATTCAACGAAAAATAAAAGG